GGGGGGAGGGGAGATACACCAACGGACAAAAAAAGAGAAAGAAAGAGAGTGTGAGCAGACAAATATAGAGACGGAGAGAATAGGAGAAGATGGGAATAGGTGGACAGAGGTCAGAGACTGTGAGAGATGGAAAAAGAAAACAAGTACACAAAACTTGGGATATAATCCAGTTTTGGTCCCAATGATAACTATGGAGTGTGGGTTTTGGCTTCACCAACGATTACTTCTGGTTCTAAATTCTAAACGATTACTTTTCGACGCGTGTGCCGATGTTTGACGCTCAGCGAGCAAGAGATATTTCAAACCTACGGCCTAATTCTAATTGAATGGCAAAACATCAAATTATGTTTAAATTCAGTGGGGGCATACCCATCTGAAACCTCCCACGTTTTATAAGATCAAGGGGGCAAGCTCCCCTAAAACCACCCTTGTTAAAAACATGTGAAATATTTCTGCTAATTCTGAACTGAAAAGTAGATCTAGCAGCATGTCTCTTGCCATTGCAACAAAAGTGACTATTCTCCGGCGCCATGCCGGTCAATAGATCAATGGCTTTTCTCCGGCATCACGCATAGTTGCACATGTTGCTTCTCCACAGCTTTTCATTTCAAATGTCGGCATGTTTTGGCCATATTATACACGAACACTCTCATCAGGGTCGACATTTCATGATTTCTTCAGAATTCAATTCACAATAGGTGGACACGCAGCCACTACTCAATGAAAGCTCCAGTGACCCAAGAAGGACGAATTTCTGTGCCAAAGGTGACAGCACCAAAAGCACCAACAACCCTCAGTCACAACCAGTAGAAGTAGGCCTACAAGAAGGCGCATCTGGCACTGAACTCAGTTGCAACAATAATAGCCATTTTATAACCAGCCGACAGGGGAGATGGAAAGCTGTGGAGAAGAGACATGTGCAACTAGAGCTATACGACACTGTGATGCCAGAGATTAGCCACTTGCTAATATATATTTAAGTCAGTAGCGACGTCATCGATTATATCCAGTCCTCTTTTAAACTGAAACTGGGGCCAAAACCCGAGAATGCCCAAAACTCGAACTTGAGCAACAATAATTTTATGGGAGTGTATACAGACCCGGTAACTGGGAACAAAGTTACGAAGTATACAGGAGGCCCGGTAGGGGAAATCTTTTGTGTTTTCGGAAAGTTTCAGCCCCCTCTTGGCTCAGGGTAGTTCAGGGTAGACTTCAGTTTTTCTAGATCTATGGCCTAAGGTCTAGATCAAGACAGACATCATATTAGTATTAGTTTCGAGGCCTAGATCTAAATGAAGATTGCTGATGTCTTTTCGATGAACGATCGCTTTCCCTCCGTTTTAGAGTTGAAGGAATCCATAGACAATTTGAAGAAAAGAACATGTCATAATTTCAATCAACAAGCAGTCTCAAGATCTATTTCTCTCTCTCTCTCTCCCCTCTCTTTGTCTCTCTCTCTCTCTCTCTGTGTATCGCTCGCCTTTTCTTTCTCTTTGTTTATCTCTGTCTAAAGTCTTTCACCCAACCTTCTTTCCCACTCTATATTTCTCTCGTTCCCTCCTGTCAACTAGGGAATGGTATAGAAGATGCCAGCACTTCCCCCTGTTCTCTACCCCCCCTCTCTCCTCACACACACACACACACATACAGACACTCTCTCTCTCTCTCTACCGGGTCTGGGCGCTGAAACTTTCCGAAATCACAAAAGACTTCCCATACCGGGTCTGTATAGGCCTACTTCTTGACTTTGTTCCCGGTTACCGGGTCTGTATACACACTTCGTAATTTTATATTTTTAGATTCTAAATCTAGATCTAGATTCAGACTAGATTTCTAGATCTAATCTAATCTAGATATCTAAATATATATATATATCTAGATCTAGATCTCTAGATTCTAGATATTAGATCTATTCTCTAGTCTAGGCATACACAACAACTACAAAATAACAACAGAAATAGTCAAATAGAAACAGTGAACAAGAGGGCAGAACTGAGGAGAGGAAAGGTAGACAGATTCGTTGTCTCACCGCACCAGGTGTAACTTGTAACTCTCGGACACAAACATTTCCAATATTTTTTATTGCTTCTTTCACGATCTGGCCAAGATCGGCCAATTTGGAAGCCACAAACACTTTGGAGATTGGCCTCCTTATTGTTTCCATTTCGACTTTCGCTTTCGGAAATTGACGGGGAAATCGGTCAGTGATGATAAATGACTGTTGATACTACATTACACACACACACACAGATCCATCTTCCTTTTCATCGTCTCTGTCGTGTTTTCGCATCGCTTTATTTATTGTATTATAAATTAATAAGAGCAGTCTCATGTTCCACACCAAGGAATAGGTCTGATTAGAAAAATATATGTCTTTTTTTCTAAATGTATGTTATGTAAAAACAACCTTTCAAGACACAGATAGAAAGACAGACAGCGCCTACTACCACAGCAAGACCATGTTCACAGGATCCATGATGGAAGAATCCCAGAAGACATCCTTTTTATGGACAGTTGGAGAGAGGAAAAAAGAACTAAAGTGTACCCTCAGCTAAGATTTATCGATGTTTGCAAAAGAGCCACAAAGTGTAAAGGCCACCGACACTAATGTAGACAGTTGTGAGGAGCACACGATCGGTCTTCCCGGAGAACAACTTAATTTTAATAATACTCTTTTTTAGTAAGGTTTTAACAGCGCTCGAAAGCCTATAAGGGTGAGGTTTAAATAGAAAGTAATTAGAAATCCTCTGTAACTGTAAATAATTTTCAATTGCAGCAGCCGCGGCAGAGACCGTCATTTTTGAAACCCTCGATGAAAACACTTCAAAATGGTGTTTGTCAATGTGTGTGTGTGTTTGAGTTTGTATGTGTGTGTGAGAGAGAGAGAAAGAGAGAGAGAGAGAGAGAGAGAGAGAGAGAGAGAGAGAGAGAGAGAGAGAGAGAGAGAGAGAGAGAGAGAGAGAGAGAGAGAGAGAGCAGTGAAAGATTGGGGGTTGTTTTTTTTTTTGGGGGGGGGGGGGGAGGATTTAGAATTCAACTCCGACCACACTCCCCTTCGCACACATGTACACACACGAGGACACTTTTGCCTTACACCTTACACATGTTCCAGCTAAGCACACTGCAGGCATAAGAGTCTATGATGTATTGCCAAGGCTTTTCACTTTGACCATAGGACATAAGTTCCATAAATCCAAGAAGGGAAGAAAAATTTTTCAGCTTCTTCATTTTTGAGCTGAGATTTAGTACAAGTACAATCCAGTGGTTGGCCCCAACAGGCAAAGACTAAAAGTCTAGACCCTTACTAGTGTCAAACTCAAACTGGCATGGTCAGAATTGTGTCAATGAGAGAATAGAACGTTTACAATCATTATAATTATGCACCATCTTTATAAGTACCGGCACTTGGTACTCAATCAAGGCACCCAGGCTAGAGAAACTGAGTTGTATGCAGTAACAGAGTACATGTATAGTGACTGTCCCTTTTCACCAGAAACAGACTAGACTGCAGCAACAGAGGAGTGGAGGTACTGCCCACTTATCAAACTGCTGTGTAAATACCCATACCATACCATACATTTCATACACTCAACAGTTTAGCAAGCACTATGTTTTCATATAACATGAGACGACTGTAAAATGTCATCAAGTTCATAGTAAACTGAACCACAGCCACTATCAGTCATCAAGGCTTCCTTGTTGACAAACATAATACTATGTAGGTATGGGTTACACTAGTCTTGTACATGTGCATAGGGGATGATCAGTCCATTGGAATGGAAGGTCTACTAAGCTGTCCACAGTACAGTCCGTGCTGGCTTTAAGCACACCAGCATAAAGCACGTTTCGGACTCAAGCGTGCTAAGCGGCTTTTACCGAATTTTTGTGATATAAATTACACGCCTTTAACCACGGTAACTTCGGCTTCAGGCACGCTTCATTTACAAGACAGTCAATACTTTCGTGATGACCCATCGATTGAGATGCATACATCCGCGTTCGTGGTAAAGCTACACAAAGACGAAAAAAACACAAAGAGAGTCGGGAAGACAAGAAAGGGAGGCCAGTTGTGATTTCACCTTTGACCCTCGCTATCCATTAATCCTGATTGTGTATCACGCGTGAGGTGGGATGAATGTGGCACAGCGGGCAGTAGTACGCACAGGCAGTTTGTAGGCCAAGAGTGCTGTACCATGACTGGCCATCTAAATGTTTTCATTTCCCATTTGACCATAAAACAAAAACAAACAAAAACTACCATGGCGAGTAAAAATAACAATGCACACTCTTGTGGGGGACTGCTATAGGCCTACTTACAAACAAAAGGAAATAGCACGGAAAATTTTCTACATGAAAATCTATGGATTATGTCTACTTCGCACTCAAGCAAGCTTCGACATTAAGCATGCTTATGCTTTTTCCCAACGACCATGCTAAAAGCCGGCGTGGACTGTAACTCCCACTCTGGTTCTATTCTATCCAGATATATAAATTCTAAGGTTTCATTATAACCTACATAGGGTTGACAAAAGAAAAAAAACAACAAAACAATCACCACTAATATAAAAACACATACAGACATGGGGAAATATCTGCCACATACCTGTACTGTGTCTATTTTTTACCAACCAATTAACGATGGTACCTAAATCAACATCACACTTTGCCATTCCTACAAGCATTAAGGTCAACTCTTTTCCAATGCAGTTCACATCACATGTTTTATTCAAAATAACCTTGTTCATATTTCATCAGTCCAATGCTCCTTTGCTGAGGAACTTTCAAATATATTTTTAAAATTATCAAATGCTCCTGGATTTCAAAAGTAATTTACAACAATGACAATCAGTTTACACCATCACCAGGATCTAAGACATTATGCATAATATGGGAAATGAATGTAAATAAAATATCCAACTAGCTGATAACTGGCACGATCAGCAAATACACCCTTTCACGGATCCTGGAGAGGAGGGAGGAGCAGCTATAGCATTGTGTCACCTGCAGTGATGCCTATTCTCCAGTCAAGTAAGTAAGTAAACAACAGGAAGTGTTAAAGAACCTGACCCGTTAAGAAGATCTGCCTACCCCTCCATGACCAAAACAAGGAGTTTTCCACAGAATTCTCCCCAGAAATCTCAAGAACCGCAGTAGATTCAGATTACATTATAAATCGATCGAGGAATAAATGCGTAAATTGTTAAAACATATGCCAATAAAAATATGTAGGCCTATTTTTTCGTCATTTAAATCACGCAAATATTGCAAATAAACATGTATTTTAACGTCATTAATGAAGTTGTGCAAGACTGATGGAAACTAAATTCAAGAAAAAAAATCAGATTTTACGCAAATCCGATTGAAGATCTTCCATTTCCATAGATTGGCAAAAAAGTTTAGAGGGCTCCAATTTTATCAGAGTACTTGGCATGTCTGCTATAAGAGCCAGCAGCACATCTTTCTTACCCCTTTGGGGCATAAAATTTGTTCAACTTTTTTTTGCACCCAATTTTTGCTAGCCAGGACAGTGAGCTATCGTACAGAGTGACTTCCTTTGGTATTTACTTCAGTGCAGTGGGTCCGTTCTTTATCTAATTATATAAAATTTAGTGTGCCTGGTTGAGTCTACGACTAAAGTTGCCAGTGCCAGTGATAATGAGCGCATACTATGGCCTGGCCACTGAAGTCACAGACGTTACTGTGAATGTTATGAAGCACTTCAAGGCCTACAATATACAGAGGGATGGCATCTTGGCCCACATTGTTCTACATACGGTGTATGTGAGCTGTCATGAAGGGGTTACCTCTTGGATCTACTAACCATGAAACAGAAGGAAAAAAAAACAGGTCAATAACAGGACCAAAGACTCATAGAACAAATGTAAACCAATACATACATTTGTATAAAAACGGAAGATATCAATTTTACAATATCGGAAAAATTCTAAATTAAGACCAGACCCTTATATACTCGCCCCCTCCTCACAAACAACAAACACAATACATACATGTAAAACATGCGCAGCTCAATTCATGATTCATAGTACACAGAATCTGGTGCCCTGCTGACAAACTGAGAGAGTACTGAGCTCAAAGTATGAAAGAAGTGAAGCATGCATTCATACATACACCTGTAATTTTTAGCACCCTTTTAATTAACATAAATCTTGCAAATGCTGGCATGAATCTTATCTGTACAAATTACAAAAATCAAGTCAAATTCCATGCTTCTCAATACTATTACATGGGCACTCAAGTCAAAGATGTTCATGTGCTCCATGGCAATCTCTAAAACCCTGAAAAATACTCAAGGCCACATATTTCAAACATGAAACTCATCCCCTGAATGCCTGCATTCCCAGGACAGTAATCAAAAGAGATCAACCCCTTTGACACAACCCCCCTTTTTCAAAACAAAAAACAAACAAAGAAAGACCTGCCAGTTTTTATCCTCAGAGATGGGGGGGGGGGGGGGGGGGGCGGCTCACAACTCACTGGGCTTTACTTACCACCTAGAAATTCAGCCGTAAACACAATGAAATTTCAAATGCTGCAGACATTCACTGTATCAGCTTGATCAAAAGCTTTCAACCTTGGTTTTATGTAGAATCAAACTGTACAACTAACATAACAGCCCTGCTGTGAACTGACAAAACACCTTTTTTTAAATTTTGCGCCAATTTTTTTTAGTTGCTATATCGAAAGCCTGATCATTTACTCTAATTGTGTGAAAATAGCAAAATGAAACAGTCACTAGTTTTTTAATAAATCATAATTCCAATTTTGGAAGAATCCTTTTTTTAAATGGTTACCCTGATAAAAAGCCTTTTCATCTCAAAACTGCAGGGAATTTTTTTTAAAGTGTTTTGTCAGTTTACAGAGGAGTTCTCTGCACCCATACATCCTTCACTCAATGAAAATGAAACGAACCATCACAAGCACTGGTAAATAAATTTCATGGGCAAAAAAGAACACTTACAGATGGACATTGCACTCAGCAGTTTTATACACAACAAAAATGTATTTAGTCATAAATAACACAAGTATACATTATGGGACATTTATGTACAGAACATAGTCAAGAAATAAATAATAAAAAGCACAATAAAAAAAATGATTGTGGAAGTATCCCTGAACATCAAGACTGCGGATCAAAGAAACCCTACTTCTTCATTGGAAGTTGACAGATCTCTTATCATAAGTTGCCGTAAAAAGTGGCAAGCATCTTCATATTCAAAGTGTCAGTTAAAGGCATCAAGATATGTAGTAGTAGCTACAGCTTAGCTTTTAGATCTCTCACAAATAGTTCCATGACATAAGGAAGAAAACAGAAATCTTGTTGACCATATAGACCTACATAAGTTTCATATCCAGAACAATAGAAGTCTACTACCAAACATGCTGACACCTCACTGACCAAAAAAAAAGGGGGGGGATCCAAAGGCATTAGTCACAGCTGAAGGATGCCGATATCTAGAAATTCATGACAACCATCCACACATTCACAGGCCCTGATTTTCTCAGAGACTTCGTAAACTCAATACCTCATTTATTCTTCATCTATCCTTTTAAGTCCATTCAACCTCTCTAGTCTAGAAAAGTCTGTTGCACATTATCTCTTTATTCAACCTCAATCACTCAATCAGTCTCTCATAAACTTTGCTTACGGATATCCACTAACCCATTCGCTCATTCATTCAATCAGTTCCTAGCACAAACATCTTGCAACTGCTGGCATGAATCTCGACATGGCACCCTGTTCAGCTGTTGGGAGACTAATGCCCTTTACCGACCTCATCCACCTCCTGCCATTGGGGGTGGTCCTGGTGCTGTGGACAAAAAGAAAGAAAATTATAACTTAGTACCTCACAATATTACATTTCTTAAAAAGTCCTTGATTCCTTGATTTTCTCACCTGATGTTACAAGTACATCAACTCAAAAATTTAACTATATCACTAAAAAGCCTTAACCATTTTTCCATCTTTTAAAAATCTCAGGAAAAGATTTAAATCTAACTTTAGGTAGCGTAAACACGGCCTCGCGGGCACTCGCAGCCTTCCGACCGCGTGGTATCAGTGAAATCGGGGTAATTCCGATCGCTGTTTCTTTGCTCTTTCGCTATAAAACACCAAATGCCGTACACCTTGTAAAAGTTCAGCTTTTCCTCGTCACAATGGTGTAAGTTGTTTATATGTCCGATTATTAGGAGTTGGAGAATTGCCGGCGACAGCGAAGCCCCTCGCGGTCGGAATGCGTGGTCGGCCGGTTGAAAAATTGACACGCGTGCATTCAAATGCTTCGCGGAACGAAGGATGATTAAATACCGTCTTTTCATTGGCGGAGAACTGTAGAGCTTTAAACGGGCTTTCCCGTGATATATGTTTAGTCTTTGACGTCTAAATAGAAAGCTTTTAAAAATACCGTCAAAATGTTTAAAGATCACTTTTTACACAAAATATGTCAAATACCGGCTTATAAAAAACTTCAATTGAAAGATCAGTTTATTTTCTATTAGAATAAAGTAATCATTCCACCAATCCTTCCGCGAGATTCGGAAAGCATGTGACCCGCATCCGTGGTACACTACAGTAAAGAGCCGACTCGCTCGCCGCGGGGGCTGGTGCAGCGCCGGCCGGGTCAACGCTCGGTGTTTTTGTCAAAATAACGACAGATCATCGTGTTTGAGACGATAAAATACTATTTGTAATGATCTCACAGTCTTGAAAAAAAATAGGCTCCATATATTTGTTATAGTGATTGCACTCTGTTAATGTGGAGATGTTTACTGCTCTTGGTACTTTTTTATTGTCTGTCAAACATGGGGATGCAGCCAGTGACTGACTTTAACAAATTTGTTCAAATTTTAAACAACTACAATTTTCTTAAAAATTGACGGAGAGGTTAAAGAATGGTACCAAAATGCTCAGTGGATATAGGCCTTTCAAATGGAACAGATAAATTTGGCATACAGCTAGTTTGAAAATATAGTTTCTGGTACCTACTAACTTTGTTTATAATCACAAAAGTCTGGTTCCAACAAATTTGACAAATGTTCCTTTTCTGAGAACTCTTATGCACCACAAAATCAGATTTCTCATATGAACCTGTCCACTGTACAACCTCAATTGAAGCTATATATATATATATTAAATGTAACCATTTCAGCATCACACACAAGAGTTACCCTGTAACTGAGGTAAGACCCCTGGGTCCTAGAGCTCCAAAGAGGCAACTAGAATGTCAGTTACTATCCAGTATCAGCAAAAAATAATGATGAATTTCTCTGTAAAGGATGATGAAGCCATTTATGACAAACCTTATCAACTGAAAGATGAAGGATCAACTGCCCCCCCCCCACCCCCCTCCAAGGAAAAGTTAAGTTTACAAACGCTGAACACAAGTTCAAAGATCAAGTCAATTTGTCACCAATTTAACTCTTTCTTGTTTAATTCACCATAAAACAGCCTCCCTTGAAATGGTGGAAGAACAGAATGTTTAGTAAAGATAGAGAATAGCCATACATTGTGCAATGCAGTCTTTTTATTATAAACCTATGCTTTTGAAGTATATAATCATCAAAACCTTAACCCTTCAAGAGGCAAATGAATTTGTACTGTCCGGTTCCCCAGAGGCAAATTAATTGGAGAACTTCATGAAAATAAAGGTGGGTCATGAAAAATGCTTGTAACTTCCTTATTTTTTTAAGATAGAAACATGCGATAAAAATGTTCAAAACAATAGGCTACCTTGTCATAGATTTAATTTGTTAATTTGTCAGAGTGTCTTTGCTCCTGTGTTAGTCCTGACATTGCGGTGTCAAATTTCTCCAAGTCCTCCTAATGTGAGTGATACTGTTCAAAGCAGCCAGGGACATAGAGGGCTATATACCTCACACTTTTTTCATTGAAATGCAGTCTGTTTCCGCTTGAATTGCTACTATCCCAATAAAATGCGTTGAACAGGTTGCAAACATTCATATTTACAGCCATTTCAGATTCGATAACTGCCTTAGTGATTGAGGTAAACAAATTCCTAGACTGCTCATTTTCCATTCCAATTCTGGGTCTAGATTCTTGTTTGGGGCAGGAAATGCTAGGAAAATCTTTCTTGGCAAGAGTTTAACTTAGCAAACCCTTTCAGGTGGTTCCGTACACAAAATTGGGTCTCAAGAGCCCCTGTTCACGATCGTACCTAAACGTGATAACCTCTGAGGGACAGTCACAGCATCGCAATTATATTATCGAGATGGGTTAAAGAAAAGGCACAACTTATTCAAAAATGGCTTTGGGCTGTCAACTTTTGGGAAACTTACAGTTAATATCCTTTAATGTAAACAATACAACGTAATAATTTTCAAAGAGCAAAAAGAGGAGAAACCGTCAAACAATCTCCATCCCTGTGATACTCCCATCATCAAAGTCGTACGTGCCAAACAATTTTTCTTACCTCCCCCTCGTCCGCCGACGCCGCCCATTCTCCTCCGTGGTCCTCCCCCACCAGGGCCTCCACCTCTGAGAACAGAAAAAAACAAAACAAATCCACCAAATGAAAAACAAACAAAAATGTAGGATAAAATGCTATAAAATAAAAAGGCTCCAAATGAAACTAGAGTATCTTTTCAGTTTTAAAAGGTAAAACAGAATTTAAGAACCATTGAGCAAAATAAAAAAGATCAAATTTACTTAGCTCAACTTCTTGACAAAAACAATGACAATCTTTATTCATCTCGCAGGGAGAAATTTGTCTTGGTCTGATGGAATTAATAAAAGCATACCATAATATTGAAATAGTTTCCACATTCATTCATGTATATATATAACGTCGTCCATCTCACAAAAGGCCGTAAGGGCATTTTTGGCATTTTTCAGGAGAGCGTTTCAAAGTGTTGGACACTTTTTAAATTCTTGCAGTGGCATAACCGTTTGCTTTTTCGTTTACATTTTTGGCAAGAGATAAGTACAACCACTGATTTATCATTCCCTTTAATGGTTATAGATATTGTGTTATTAGTTTTATAAGAAATTGGCTAAAATAGCTGATACGCCTGTTTGTGAGAACATAATTATGTCTGTAAATGTAAAGACACAAGATTGACAATACGCCACGTCGTTTGGTAACAGAATATAAGAGAAAACAGATTTTTTTCTTGATTATTGAACAGGTTAATCAACTCAATATGCCAAATTGGTCTATTTTCGGGAGTGAAAAACAACAAGGAAAAGAAAATGAAACAGATTTGGGGTCTCCACGATATGAAATGTAAATAACTTAAAGAGTTAAGCTTTCTTACTTGTCTTCAAGGTATTATGCAGAATTTGCACAATACAATGAGTGTAAAATTTCTAGTACTGCACAGAACCTTTCATTCAAAACTGTGCACCATCCTTACACAACAACAATACAAGTAGAGAGATAAATTCTGAGTGTGTGTAAAGAATTTGTGTAATACATTATAAACGTTTTAGCCCATAATGCTTTGTTTATCAATGAAATATTGTACAAGTGTTCGTTAAGAAAGATTAAAATGATCTGGAAAGGCACTTCAATGCGAAAAGACAGTGTTAGTGGTAGCCTGTTATTATTATAAGTTACATGTGGCAAAGTTAAAAGAACATTGTGTGTTCCTCCAGTCTGATGAAAAGTGTACTTGGCTATAAGGAGTTTTTTATAGGCTGTTCAATGGAACATCTTTGACTTGATTTTTCTGGGGTTTAAAGGTCACTGTTTGGTACTGTGGGTTTGTAGCAAATAAATGGTTATTGAATAGTCTCTGTTGAGTCTGTTCCATAAAATCACTTCAGTTTATGATTATATTGCAGCTGAAAGCATCTTCTTTAAGTTTTCTCACTTTGGCTTTTCCGTGGATGCGATTGTTCAGCCTTTGTTTTGTCTCCTCTTCAGTTCAGGTTTGAGAGCTAGTCCTTTTAACTGGAAACTGACCTACAGTAGTGATGTGAGTCAACAGCGGGGAAGCTCGCAATTTGAGCATTAATGAGGGAGGGATGTTTTTCATCTCTTTCTCTGACAGTTGCTGGGCATCATCATCCTCTTTTTTTCTACTTCAATAGCACCAGCTGATGTTGTCGTATAGATGACGGTATTCCATCGACAGTCAAATAATATGTATTGGTCTTCAGTCCACGAGAACAGCTCGTCCCTTTCATAGATTCAGAGCAGTCAATGTGACCAACAGCGAACTCATGTTGTAGATGATGGTCTCTAAGTCTGTAACATTGCTGGAACATTTCCTTGTGTGTTTCATTCGCAATAGTGTGACAGCTTCGCCCATATTTCTCATAGCTTTCAAATTCATACCTGTCTCAAATCCTGTGCACGCCAAAATGTATTTCAGTTATAGGGCAAAGGAACTCCTCTAAAAAATCTCCTTAGTCCTTAGCTTCTTTATACTTTGATTGGACCGTGGACCTTTCAGAGTAGTCACTTCCTTGACAGCACCTTCTACCAATAAATTTTCAGGTTGAGTACAATATCCAACGACAACAGAGTTATTCTCTTCTGGCTTTATCCTTTTTCTACTCACGATGCTATGTGGCTTTTTTAAAAGACTACCATGAGCCTGTTTCTTCCACAAAGTGACTGTATGTATTATACAAGAGCAAGACACACTTCCACAAGCTGCAAATATGTCCTTCTTGCAAGACACGGAAATCAGGTTTGAAAGATGGGTCTACATCTAAATCGTCAATATAATCAGAACTTTCTGCAATACCACATCTTTGGGGACTCATGGACCTAATTAAAACTTTCACTAGTAGAAAATATTTTTAAAATTGAATGTTTATAAGCTTACAAATCAGCTAAGATACTATCACTTTATGATTGCATGAACATCAAACGCCGAAAGCAAGGATGAAATATAAAGCACAGGTACCAAAACAACACGTGTCTACTTGAACTAATGGTAAGGAAGCCTATAAAAGTCCCTCAATGATGCAGCGAGAAAGAATCAGTGAGACTAATAAACATGAAATGAGATACATCCCCCTCATTTACAAGAAAGAAAACAAAAGGAAACATCTCATACCATGGCGTATGCGGTCATATGCCTCTGTATATATTCTCACAAAGGGACGTAACAAGGCATACGCCTCAATGTGAGATGCAGATTCCTGCCCGAGAGCTATAGGGCTAAATGTTTTTTGCTCATAATTCCGCCATTTTTAAAGCTATCAACACGCCGGTTTGAGAGAACATAGATCTCACTACCCGACATACCACGGTGGTGTTAACTCAAAACCGCTAATTTTGACGATACGCCCTTTTGTGAGATGGGCGACGATTAGAGTTGGGGCGAGCGGACGGACGAGTTCGTTACTCGCGCACTCAGTCAGAGCGAACGGATAACGGATGGCCATGAGAGCGAACTGCGAACCTCAAGACAATTCGTTTTTTGGGTCCGCTCCACAATTTGACTCTCTCAGCGAGCGGACTGAGGACCTCAAGCCTCAAGTCAGTTCGTTTTTTGGGTCCGCTCCACAATTTTATTCACTGGGCGGGCAGGCGAACGGACGAACTTTAGCAGATGAGATACTCGACCCGAGAATAGACCCATCGTCTATTGTTTGTTAATTAGGCCTGATGTTTCAAACCACTAGTGGTGCCACAGGGAGTGAGAGAGGCCGGTGACGTAGTACTATGTGTGTAATCTTTCACCTCGTGCGTGGGGCACGCTGTGTACGTTCCAATTATCGCAAAGGCCGGGGGGGGGGGGCGGAAATTTCCGCCATGAACGCCTAGCTACAATGTGAGGCAGGAGGGTGATTTTTTAATGAATTTTTTTTTGGGGGGGGTGGGTGGGGTAGGCAATGGAAGGAGTCGTTCCCATCGGTCCGTCCGCCCGCTCGAATGCACGGAGTCTCTCCGTCCGCCCGTCCGCTCGCTCGCTAAACGAACTGTTGTCTCTGCCCAATGTGTAGTGAGTAGCAAGTAGCGAACTGCTCTTCACAAACGGGCGGTTCGTTGCCCGTCCGCTCGTTTGCGGGTAGTGCCAACGAGTAGTTCGTTACTCACGGACACTAATTTTGCGAGCCCAACCCAACCATAGCGACAATAAATATATATATATATATATATATATATATATATATATATATATGGTTCTAGCTCAAATTAACGACTTTCATGAATAAATACTAACAGTAGCTCTAAATCCTCAGGTCCGCAGAACGTTTGATATAACATTTCATATTGTGGAGTTAAACTTTCATCAAGTTCACCATGGAGCTCAAACTGTACAGCAGGGAAATCTTTATTAGCACTTATTTATTGTACAAGTACAATATCTCTTCCACTACCAACACTAGAAAAGAAAAGCCAACAATATTCTTGAAAACAGCACAGAAACTTGTTGCGTATAGACTGATTTAAGCTCAATTATATTTCATATGATTCAAAAAAGAAAATGCAAATCCAACTTACCCCGGTCTTCGATACTCTGATGTGTAGCGATCCCCTTTAGAGTTTTTGCTAGGCTGTAAAAAGTAAACATGGAAATCACATAGACAGCGCATGAGCAACATTGCATGATTTTTTTTTTTTAAGCGTTACTTAATTGACAAATCCGTTATCAATTTTTTTTTTTATGTTCAGAATATCACACAGCTTTTCATGATTAACTCATTCCATGACAATCCACTATGCATTCTTGTCATTTGTTTCTGGTCTCACTGTTTTTAAAGTTTCTTTTCGGTCACCATTTATGTCAGTTTTATTCACTTGTTCATAATCCTCGTTCATTTTCCTTCATTTTGGTAATAATATAAACTTATCGGATAAATATGTTATAAATATATAAGCACATTCATAGCACTCAAAGTGAGCACCCCAATTGATCTGTGGGCTCAACAAAAGTTTGCCTGGCACAGAATAAGAATTTGATCCTGGCATGGAATTATAGCTATATTCAACATAAAGCAACATTAACAATCTATCCCTATTTCAAGAGCTAAGAAAGTAAAGCAAATGAGTTAGGTGAGGAATAATGACAAATAAAACCATGTGCGTTCTAGCCTGGGATCAGAGAAGACCAAAAAAGGGGGATATAGGAGGGGGCTGTGAATTTGAATAAATGGTAGGGTAAAAGAAATGCTATCAGTGTAGGCCGAACATGACAAAAAAGTTAAACATCTCAGATGTCTAAAGGTTCCATCGATGAAAATCATACCTTGGGACAATTGTTACTGTGGACAGAAGCCACCTGAAGCAACAGACCTGTCTATTTTTATGAAATATCTAACACCTTTTTTTAATTCATAAGAATAGGGTCCCGATTAACTTTCGTAATACTTTTTCCTTTACTGAAAACTTTTTTTGAACAATGATGTAGCAAATACAATTTCTCAACATTTAAAACTTCTTTCAGTACAAAATCATGTAAAAAAAAAAAAAGCTCTTTACTTGAAACAGCAAAGCCGCTTTTCAATATTCCACACAAATAAAAAAGTACTGAAATCAAAGCAACTGTACTTACATTTATCAATGTCTGGAAGCTGAAGAAAAGTAAATGGAAAAGAAAATTAACTAAAAAGTAGACATGTAGAATTACTGTAATATATTATGAGGCATCATAGTGAAATCAGACGTTCGTCAAAATAATTAAATCAAAGAAACCAGTAAATTTCAGGCTGTCGGGCAATTTTAGTAAAGACCCAAAACATATAAATTTGCTTTTTCCAAGGATTCTCAAGCTTTGGAAGTCACCAAAGTTTAGCGGTCATTTTCTCTGTAATTTTCTCTGTGAAACCAGGTGACCCTCACCTCCTCCAGTCGCAAATATCTCGACTTCTGTTCAAGACAGATGGGTATTTTTTTTCATTGAAAACAAGACAAACTAAAAAGTTTTAAGACAATACCAATAACTCCACACTCCACATGCCTAAAAATTGATAAACGCCTGATTAACCACGTCGTGATACATATCCCAACAGCACGTTGTACTGGCAGAGGTAGGACTTTTAAACAATAATAATTAGAATATATTCCACTTTAAAATCTAAACAAAAAGAACCTTATAAATCCTACTGTCTATGCTAAAAACATTCCCAGGAAACGACAACAGTGTGCAGCCATAAAGGATCCTTCTTCTTCAAAAAAGTAAAAGGCACTCTATTTAGGCAGCAAACACAAACTTCATAATGCAGGTTATTCATCACGCCATTGAACTTACGTCTCAGCTATGTCTGGGCAAAGAGAATCCTTGGATTCTTGATCTTATGTATAGGCAGGATGCACCACTGTCGTACATCAACAAGGCTTTTTAAAATTATTTTTCTGAGTTCATAATACTTCCTTAAAAAATAATTAATACAAACACTTAAATGAAAGAAAGCAGATTAATAACTGTTACCTTAATTCATTGTTGAGAGCTGTCTTCAGCTCCTCATGTACCACAAAATAAAATTTTAGACTGTTACACCTCTGTGATCTTGTACGGACGGAATTCACTATTATTCCTAAGAAACAATATACACAAATATAGAAAAATTCAGAATTTTCAGAAGTATACTTACAAAAGTACTATAAAGTTGATCAGGCCCCATATCATCTCAGGGATGACTGAGAGTCTCCAGGGAGACCTGGACTCCAACACTTGACCTGGGGAGAAAATTACACAGTATTGGCAACAATAATGGCAACCTTTCATAAGAACACAGGGCTTTTGAATAATAGTCAAGAATAAGAAGACCACACAACATGGCTCTATTCACAAATAGATTACAACGTCATTACAAAAAGAGAACATTGTCCTTAGGCCTACATTATTTTATAATCTCAGAAACTAATAATTTGCAGTGGACATGATATAAAGTCAAAATTTTTGTAAAGCAGATAAAAATGAACAAGAAAAGAGGCACTCTTAGGGAGAAGTGGTCCCAGCCTACCTCTCTTACAACCAGAAACAAAAACAGAAGTCGAGCAAAAAAGCTGACAGAGTATTTTGGGGGGGGG